AATTCCCAAAAGGAGGCCATAGTCACCAAATAAACACAAGGTATGCCACCAGATACTTTTAAATCTTTGGAAAACCAGATAGTATTTGATACCATCTAAACTACCACTATAAGACATTGGCCTAACAGATTTACTTAGCAGAATTTTTTGATTCTAGGGGAACTATTAGAAAACAAACACACACAACACCCCTAGACACTAAGGGTACGTTTAAACCCTGAGTTTTATTACAAATATCAAGCTTTCTAAAAACAAATGTCATGGGACAATTGAGAGGGCTGTCAATAACTGGGACCCACATGTTAAAAGGAGAGAACCAACTCTGGCAAGTTGACCTCTGACCTCCACCACTTGTACACACATGAAACAAGCACACAGAAACAAACATGATAAGAATAATTAAGAAAAAAAACCATGATGTCAGTTTATGATTTCAGATGAAAAAAATATGCTTGCATGTAATGGAAAGGAAGGCTAGCATAATGTAACAGTGAGCCAAACTGAGGAGCTTGGGAAGTTATTTAACCTGATATTAGCTGGCCAAGGAAACATGGGAAAGAGGAGACAGAAGGTCAAATAAAACAGCAAGCTTTACTTTAAAATATTCCAGGTGACTTCTACTGCTGAAGCTGGCACAAACAGCACAAGCACTACTATTATTACTACTATTCTGCACCGCCTCAATTAGCAGCTGTAATAGGCAAAGAACCAAATAGGAAAAGTCACCAGTTCGAGTTTTAGCCCACACTATTGCTTTGTATCTCTGTCTAGGGACAATAGCTAGGAGCCTTTGTTGTCAAGATTTTCAAGAGCAAAGAGAATAATACTGTGACCCAGACCTAGATTTAGTCTTTTTTAAATTAATTTTTTTCATCTGCTTATTGTTCATTCTGTACCAAATAGCAACAAGAACTAAAACATATCCCCATCATTATTCTAGGCACTGAATATCTGACAAATTTCAACTATTAAGTACTCATTTAAAAACAATTCTGACACATTTTATTCTACTAATTGTTTTCTGATACTCAATGTCTATCTTTCATATTTTACATATTTGAAAGTAATGTTTCTAAACACATTAGAAGGTACCGGGTACAAGCTAACAGCAACAAGACATCATCAACTAACTGTAAATGCATCATCTTAGATTGCAAATAAAATTTTCAATGCTAACTTATAAAAATTGAAAAGGGGTACTTCCACTGGGCATGGTGGCTCACACCTTTAATCTCCAGCACTTGAGAGGCAAAGGCAGGTGGATCTCTTTGAGTTCGAGGACAGCCTGGTCTACAGGGCAAGTTCAAGGACAGCTAGGGCTACACAGAGAAACCCTGTTTCAAAATTCCAAAAGGGGGTGAGGGGATATGGGGTATTTCACTGCTTATTTATACTAAAATTTTGTTGCAATATAAAATGTTAATCTGTATATAGCAATAACTAACACCAAATAGAAACAAACCTACCTAACCATTTATGTGTTTAATAATTAGGTTAATTTACACTTTACATTACATTGTCAATTGTTGAGTGTTTGACCTGGGAAAGTGTCTGGTTTAAGTAGGCTGAAAGTTCATAATTCCTATACAAAATAATGGAATTTAAGGCATAATTTTTCAAAATATATGAAAAACTTCATACATAAGAAATACATATAAAAAAGAATGAAACACCGAACTCAAAATAATAATTACTTCTAAAAAAAAAAAAAAAAAAAACAAGAAATGAGATATGGCAGTATCTCCTTAAGTATAATAAGCAAACTGAAAATACACATTTGTTAAAAACAACAACAAACCCCAAAGCAGCAAATCTTAACATTTGCAGTTTTACTCACAAGGAAAGACCACACAGCAAACCACTGAGAAAAGTTAGGAAGGTGAACTCTCACATTGGACTTTGTGTTTTTCTTCAACATTTTTATGTGGAACAAATTATTTTTATTGCTAAAAGATAAATGACACAAGGTACCATTCATAGTAAAAATCTTGGAAATACCACTAGCTGGTATCCAGCATATCTTCCTATTTCTTTCCTTCAGTTTTGTAACTGTAACTTTACTCAAACAATATGCATTGAATATCTCTATACAGCAGGTACCATGCTAGGTACTGGTAGTACCAAAATAAATACGTAAGGTTCCAGTTTTCAACAACCATATTACATACAGAAGCACTGTCATGCAGTTTTATACAATGACAGAAACAATCTAATGTGCAGCATTCAGTACAGTAGCCACTAGCACTGATCGTATAAAATGTTGCTTGCATGACTGGTAAAGTGTTAGTACCATTTAATCTGAACAGTAAACGTATACAGAAAATAGAAGGAAAACAGACGGCTGTTCTCTGTTAAGGTGAACACTAATCTACAAGTATGTAAGATTTGAGAGCAATAGAAAAAAACATTACAGGACATGTTCTAGAAAAATGGAAATCAAATTATTGAGTCATGAATAAAGATCACCAATCCATGAGAGATCCAAATAACTAAAGCCTGGGGCACAAGGTACAGGGGATTTAGAGCAACTTTTAATTACTAAATAGACAAACTCAGCAAAGGCAGTTGAGGAAGAGGTATGAGGGAATAAAATCATGTGGAGGAACAGAGGTGTCATGTTTAGAGCCTGACTGAGAGAAAGCCAGTGAAGGTCAAAGTGATACTTTATGCATATTCATAGCTATGGTAAAATTAGTGTAAATTAAAGAATGCAAAATTGTAGACAAAAGTTTAAAAACTGACATGTGTCCACTTTTTTAATAAAAAGCTTGATAACCCTTCTAAAATGAATGAACTACAAACCATTTAAAAAAGTGCTTTCCTACTAATTTATTTATGCAAACAAACTTCATCTACTATATTCAAATACCTAACTGGGCTTATTAACAAAACATATAAAGTAGATGCTACTATAAAAATCAGTATTTTAGCTCATGTGTAACTGAAAGTCATTAGAAGGTCTATATGGAAAAGAGAACTAGAGAAATAGTCTTCTTGTTAATCTCAAATATTAAGCTATTATCAGGATGCTTAAAGACTCAAACAAATTCCAAAACCAAAAGTTCTCAAATAGATGAAAAGTTATACAGATACAAAAAGTCTACTTTAACAATGAAAACAACAAAATTCCTATAAAGTAAAAATTTATAAACTCCAATGTGGTTTCATCTTAGGCTCTAAAAATGCCAAAAGAGCTACTAAAAACTACACTGTTTACTTTGGTGATTCAACATCGTATGGTTGCCCCATCCACTCTTAATAAACTCATCCTGATGCTAGATATGAGGCCATGCTTCCACGCATAGATTCTTTCCAGGGGGCCTTCAAAAACAAAGCAATTTGACAACTTAGACTTAAACTTCTATATCCAAAGACGTTTCAATGTACAGTGGACACTACTGTATAGCAATAAAAGGCAAAGGGGGCAGAAAGCTCAAACATTTGTATTGTTTGTATATCATGTAGAATAAAGTACTTTTAGAGTATCATAAGCAGAAATCCAGAACTCTTACCATGTGCAAAATATAACTGCTTTATTCCTTTTAAAAGTATTAATTCTGGAATTGTATATGAATAATGGTTCCATGTCGCAAATTAGCTATAAATCAAACAGAAGTTCTATAGTCACACTTTGCAAAGAGGATTGTGAGTACCTTAATGCCATATAACTGAGAATCACAATATTCTTCAAGTAATTTGACGAAACCTAACAAAAGATGCAAAAGTCCAAGAAGTGTAACCAATCAACATCTTCCAGGTGCTGGAAGTGGTTTCGAGACAGGAAGAGCTAGCTCTATACAAGTGCAATAATGAGCAAAGGCTAGACCAGTCTATGAGACCAGTCAGAAAAGAGAGGTTCTGGGGAGAACTGACTCAGAGTAGCCTCAGCTTACTCTGCTTATCACATATAACAACCTGGCCAAAAACTTCATCTCTCAAGTTAGGTGAAGGCGTAGGTTAAGATACAGAGCATAATTTATTGGAGATAGTGCTCCAAACCAGAACCCAAGTATTCTAATCAAAGGCTCTTTGCTGACACATACCATTAAAACTCACTTTCCATTTTCTCCAGTGTTCACTTGCCTCAAACAGGGAAACAAAGAATTCAATTCACTAAAATAAATGCCTAGTGCAGGAGTGAAGAGCTGCCCAAAGCTGGTTTATCACTTGGCTGCCTTACAGTCAGTCTCAAGGGACCAAAACTCTTGAAGTGAGAGGGAGCAAAGGGCTGGATACCTATAGGTACAAGAAGCCTAAGAGCTCATTTCCAAAGGAATTTTATTCAGTATTTAACATTACTTCACATTTCATACTGGATTCACTATTGAATGAAATCAAGTAAGCTTCCATTTAAAACTTAAAACACTATTCTTTTGTTTATAAATCAGTTCAATAACACATATCTTTAAAATTCACCTTCTTTGAAAGCACAGAATAGGAATGTTACATTTCCACTATTGTTTGAGCATCCCTATGTAATTATATAAAGGATGGAAGTGTTAAATAAGTAAGGAAACAAGAATTTGATGTTGTAAAGACAGCAAATTAGTGACAAATTAAACAGACTCTGGGTCATCATACATTCCTAGATTTCATTTGTATTTCTTCTATAAGTTATCCAATGCTGTCTATGTTTCTCTAACACTCTATTATACAAAATATAACCCCAAACTTACATTTCATTCTTCCAGGAGTATGCATAAAAATAATACTTTATGAACCTTTGAATTTATCCCCAAAATCATATATATCAAATATCCCTAAATTTGGCATATATCTCAGAAAATTTGTTCTGGTACTAAATAGATATTATAGACACATTTCACTTTGAAAAATGTTACAATTATTTCAGCTGTCAATTCCATTATGTAATTTTTAAATTTGTAACAAAATTTTCAGGTGTACCCATTGTAATGGGCTAGTTTCAATTAAATAGTACATTAAAACAGTCCAATGTAGCCATATGACAAATAGAGAAGGGGGAAGGAAAAAATTCTTACCTGGTAGTTTCTTTTCTCAGATAATGTATGTCCATCAGTCCTCACCATAGAGTCGTGTCCTTTCCTCACAGTACTGGAGGCAATCAAATAGAACTGTCACTCAAGGGTCGTGTCACAGGAAGGACCGCCCACCAGTTCTCCCTCTAGAGTGGAATTATCCAAAAGCCATCAAAATTACTAACATGTAAATATACATAACATTAACAAAATATTCAACATGACACACAATGCAAAGAGAAACAAAAGTAGCTGTCTTATACCCTAACCCACCTTTCCTCTTGATATTCAAGGCAGGTAGACTGAGCACCAAACTCTCAAGTAGAGATTGTCTATATGAAAACCTCTCCTCACACCTACTCCCATCATTATTTCATTCATCAGACATACATACAAGAAAAAATCTAAACTGAATGAAAACAAAGTTGATATATATACGTTTAAAAAAAATACCCCCTAAATTTTTTTGGGGGGGGTGGGGGGTGGGAGTATCCTAAATGTTCTCTGGTTCATCTACCAATATCCAATTAACTCAAATTCAGTCATTTAACCCAATGCCTATATTTCAATGCTAGGAATGTAAGCTACTTATGTATTGATCTATGTCACTCACAAAGCTTACTTTCACACTATAAGATGTAAACACATCATATTTTTAAGATAATTGTTAGATTAAAACCCAATGGTCTATCAACTTCAGCTCCAATGATAAAGAACAAATGTCTGCCTCTCAGCCCTCCAATTTCATGCACACTGCAACAGAATTCACTTTTTGGCGTGGCAAGGGGGGTTAATAATGCTCATTTCTTAACCTGGATAAGTAAGCACAAAATAATACACACACTGCATGTCAGATTTAAAGAAACTGAAAGTTCAAAGATTCAAAAGTAGTTCTACAAAGAATGTATATGATACTTTTCCAGGGCAAATATCTTTATTAGTATAAAACATTTTCTCTTATAAAGTAGTATTATAGCTACTGAACTAAAGTTGCTATCTATTACAATTCTGGATCAAATTTAAAGTAACTTATACTTACTATTATATAAAGTGTACATTAGGAGGAGATACTAAAAACATCTAATCTATAATCCATAAATAAAAGTGAGGACTAGGGAAAAAGCTCAGTGAATAAACTGCCTGCCTTGCAAGCATGAAGACCTCAGTTTCCATCCTTCGAACCCATGTACCAGCCTGGGGTGGAGGATGGGCAGACAGTCAGATCCCTGAAACTGCCAACCAGCATGTCCCAATCATTGAATTTCTGGTTTAGTGAGAGAGCAATACCAAAAGAGGACGCTTCACATGGTTCCTAAAGACACCTTCCATATCCACACACCAAATATACTACACATACTAACACCACACACCAACTCTTTACATTTTAATACAGTTTTAAATTATGTATATGCATATACATGTCTGTGTGTGGGTTTGTGGTCATGGGAACAGTGCCCAAGAGGTCAGAAAAGAGTGTCAGGTCCCCTGGAGCTGTAGTTACAGGCAGTTAGGAACCACATGACATGGGTGCTAGGAACCAAACCCAAGTCTTTTGAAAAAGCAGTAACACTTGTAATCAATGAGTAATTTCCCATGCCCCACAATTAAAAAAAAAAAAAACCAAACCATTATTATTAAAAAGGACAGATACAAAAATGTATCTATTACCTCTAAAACACAATTTGTTAAGAGGATAATTTTAAATGAAAAACTAACATTACTGAATATCATTCTACAAAGAATCGATATACAACCTAGCTCCTATTACATACATTAGAAAATTACAAAGTTGCAGAAGCTGTTTTTACTCAGTTTTGACCATCAAACATCATATAAGTTGGACTAAAATACTTCAAGACACCCAACTCTAAGCAAATGTGTAACTACTCATTAGGAACTTTTTATGTGCTTTTAAAATAAAGTATGCCTCTCAAAAACAAGGATTATTTTTACATCATTATACAGTTACTGCTATAAGTATAGTCATCATTTACACTGTTTGCATTTATTATTTAATTTGTGACATGCTTGAGATTGAACACAGAGCCCTGCAAATACTAGGTAAGCACTCTACCATGATGCTATCTATATTCCTGAGTCCAGGATTAGGGTATTTTAAAGGAAAAACTACCAAATCAACTGGATGTTCCATAACAATAATGTGACACATATGTGGCTTGGCTGTCACCAAAATAAATAAGAAACACATTACATGGCTCCTAAATGGTATTCTTGTTTTAATAGTAGCTATAATAGTATTAATAAAGTTTTAGGACAGGATCTATCCTACCTTAATGTATTGATGCTAACTGAATCCAGTGGACAATAGTCTAAAATTTGAGTGAATATATTTTATAGAATAAGAATGTTTTCCTCCTTGAATATATTTTGTGCCAAATTCCATATAGTATACTTTCATATTATAAAATTTCATGAACATTTAAAATCTAAAATTAAGAAGGTAACTTTTAAAACCTTAATGCCACACAAGTTTAACAGCACATCCTAATTTTACGGAAAAAAAAAAGAGTAAAATTTTATGTGCTAAGTAACACTTTAATCATAAAAATTAACATTTAGATTTTTCTCCTGCTCTTCCTTCTCCTCTCTTCTCTGCTGTTGCCATGTGACGGCCCGGAAGATAGGACACATTCTGCCTGCATATAAGAAATCCTAGTCAATTGGCCAACAGCATTGTAAACTAATGTAAGACTCTGTGTGTTATTCGGGGCGCCCATGTGGCTGTGGGGCTTGTGCGGATGGTGTCAGTGAGTGGGATAACCCCAGGCCCCAGGGTTCCCAGACATTCGGGGAACCTGCTGCTGCAGCCCACCCTGTCAAGTCAGTGGGTGGCATCAGAGCAGCTTCCATATGCTCACGCCATCCCATGCTCTTGGGGGTTGGACTTGGCACTCCCAATATGGCCTGTAGCCCTCGAAAGTTCTAGAGGTTAGGATTCTGTGCTCTCACCGCCAAGAGCCGTCGCCTTCCATCGACTACTCAAACCAAGGCAAAACTTGGGCAGCTGGCGGTAGTGTTATGAAATTCCATGAAAACTTCACAAAAGCTTAAAAGGGATTTTGGAAGCAAAAGAACAGAGACACACACGATTTATTGATAGCAGCATTTTCTCTGGTGGGCTTTGTTTGGCTAGAGACAAGTAGAGACTTGAGCAGTTCCCTTAAGGGAGGTTTCGTGACTCAGGCCTCTGCCTCCCCAGTGCTGGGATTAAAGGCATGCGCCACCAACGCCTGGGGAACATGAGACTCTTAATGAGTGTTCCTGCCCCACACAGCTGGCAGTGGTAGTGACACCTCCAAGCTGGCAACATGTTCTTTGGTGGCAGCATAGACCAAGGCAGTGAGCACAGCTCTCAGAGTTGATGGTAAACGTACCTCCGCCATTTTAGCAAGACAGAGGCTAAGAAAGCTGCCGCTTTAATTTTGGCAGTGTTGTTTAAAGACTGCGTGGCCAGAAAAAGGTAAAGATTTACAATAAAGACAGATTCAGATGAAGAAACACCTCTAAAGGTTTATAGTGTGTTTAAAATATATGTAAGCTTGTGGGAGAAAAAGAAACAGGAGGAAATACAGTAGCTGGTTGTGGTGGCACACGCCTTTAATCCCAGCACTCAGGAGGCAGAGGCAAGCAGATCTCTGTGACTTCATGGCCAGCCTGGTATATAGAGGGCAGCCAAAGTTACAAAGAGCAACCCTGTCTCATAAAAGGAAAAGAATAGAATAATAAAAATGCACATAAAGATGGAAAATACTCACAGAGTCTGGATACTATATGCTATATTGTTGTCTTTAAATTGTTCAATTGCCAAAGAAAGAGCTACAGCAGCTATAATACATTTGATTATCAATGCTGCTAAATTAATAAAGTGGACATGCTGGACCCACAGTAAAGTGACTGCTAAAGTTACAAAACAAGATGAACAGTCCTGAAGGGTTCCTTCTGAAATGGAGAAGTCTGCCAGAAACACTGTGGCCTATGGGCTGAAGATGGATGCCCCAACTTTACAGAGGAACTTGGAGTGACTGTCAGGTAGCAAGATGTTTCTGTCAATTGTACAGTTTATATATTATCCTTCTGTGGTCTTTGATGGGGTTGAAGAAAGACAGTTATGGTTATAGTTTTATTCAGTTATTATAAAAGATAAGTTACCCTCTTCTTTTTATTTAGACAGAAAGGAGGCGATGATGGGTAATGTCCTTCTGTGTATATGTTTATCTTATAGGATGTTGAGTAAAGTACTGTTGGCTAAATGAGGCAGCAACTTAGGCAGGACTAGGAGTCAAGGAGGATTCTGGGAAATGCAGTAAAAGGAAGTCTTGTGATACAGGCAGGAAGTGACCTAGCAGGCAGGCTCATATATAAGCAGGGACAAACAGGAAGTCGACCTTTTTCTCTTGCTCTTCCTCCTGCTCTCTGTTCTGCTGTGACCATGTGACCGCCAAGAAGACAGAACACATTCTGCCTGCATCCTCCATAAGTATTATGATTATGGTTGATAATTAAGACTGAGCTAGCATACAAGAAATCCTAGTCAATGGGCCAACAGCATCGTAAACTAAAATAAATAAATAAATAAATAAATAAATTAACATTTCACCAGTAAATTTAAAAAAAAATTTACTTTGAAAGATGACAGATTTTAGTATGAAGGGAAATCTTACTCACTTTTTGCTTTCTTCTGTATTTCAAGATTCTAACCAGGATAAGAACTGATATTCTATATTAAAGGAGCATTATCTCTTTTTAAAAAACAACAGCAGAAAAAAATAAAGGTGCTTTTTATATTATTTTGAGCAGGTATGAAAAATTAGAATGTCACCACTATTTTCACCCTATGTTGTATTAAATGAAACAATGAACAATGCAATGTGGTGATAATTCACAGCAGGGAATGAAAAGAGGTGCAATAAATGGAGGAGGACATTACGGATATGTACCTAAGATTGTGGAAAGAAGAAAACAAGCAACCAGGAGAAAGAATGTCATTTTCCCTAAAAAGATTTATACACTGTTTTCCCACAAAGTCCTACAAATAGTAAGTCATCAAAGTATGTACTTCCAAAACTACAATGAAATTTTCTATTAAGTAGAGATATCTTCCATGAAAGGAAAAAAATAATAATAA